AAAATGGCCTACTATTTGTAGAGTACATCATAATTTCAGAGGTGGCAGCTGCTTTAATGTTATTTGCATAAAGGTTTATTAAAAAGGAGGTTGAGAGGTAATAGGTTTAAAAAGGTCAAGATCATTAATTTTTTTAGAGTTATATATTTGAATTCCTTAATAATAAAAGATTTAGTTAGAGGATAATAGTCTTCATTAATTTTTTTTGAATGAAAGAGATAGAGAAATTTGTGTCACTTTGTTTAAGTATTTCAAAGTAGGTAATAAATTTGGCTAAAAAATAAAGTCTGTAATTTGGTTTGTAGCTTTTTTAATAGCTTGGTCATAGCTTAAATTGAATATTTCATCATTTTGAGCTGCTACTTGAAAAAAAGCTTTAAAGTATTCATAAAAGTAATAGATTTGATGATTAATATTATGATCAGTTTTGTTGATTTCCATAAATTGTTTTTAGCAGAATTGGCAAGTTCATGAAGAAATTTAATTGAAGTTGGAGTTTTAAATAAAGTTAAATGTTCATTATCTTTATGAAAGATTGAGAAGTCTAAGGTAGAATGAGTTCATGCTAGTTAATTAGATTTGGTAGATAGGATTGATTTGTCAGAAACTGAAGCAGGAAATTTTTTGAAGGATTGATCAAAGTAATATGTAGAAAGATTTTGAAAATTATGTTCAGTATCAGATAGAAGAACTGTATATTTATATTCATCAGAGTTTTTACAAGTATGAACATGAAAAAGAACAAGTTTTCTAACTAATAAAGTATGCTCTTGAAGAGATGTAATAGATTTAATAAAGGATTGGAGTAGTAACTTTTTATACTCTTTAGCATATTTAGTTACTGTTTGATATTTGAGAAAGTTAAAAACTTTGGTTTTGATGATGTTTGGAGAATGATGTTTATAAATTTCAAAGAATTTATCAAACCAGTTTTTGAGAATTATTCTATATGGTTTAAGGGAAGGTATTTGAAAGGTATTTTTAAATTTTTCAGTATTAATATTAAAAGAAATATTAATATTTAATTTTTTATCATTTTTATTTAAAAAGGAGCTTTGTTAATTAAATTATAATTAATGTTATAATATAAAGTAAGACAAAGTGATTGAAGATACAGATCTTCTACAAATTTTTTGCATAAATAGTTTTATAAATAGAGTTAAGAAAGAGATGTAGACATACAAAATTAATAGCAACTTAAAGTTGATTTTGAAATGTATATGATAAGATAGTATAATGAAATTAAAGAATTTTTTTATAATTGAGTTTTGTAAAGAATATAGTAAGAAATTTAGAGAAAATAAGTTTTAATGTATTAATTAAGATTCCTGTAAGAATTAGAATATGAGTGTCAATTGATGGATTAGTTTTATGAACTAAGTCTACTAAGAATTTGGGTTTTCGCTCTGTCATATTTTTTAGTAAGTAATCAAAAGAGTATTTAAAAGTAGATTTAATATCTGGGTTTTCAGAAGAAATAGTTTTACCTGGTATGAATTGAATTAAGTTGGATTTAAGAAACTCAAATAATTGTTAAGAAAATAGAGTGTTAAGTTTTGAGTTGGATTCCATTTCTTTTGTGACTAGAAATAATTTAAACTAGTCAAGATCTTGAGAAGTATCATGTTTTTGTTGTTAAGATTTGGTATTCTTTTTAGTAAATTTAAATAAAATTTCTTTAAAGAGTTCCAATTTTTCTGTTTTATTAAATAAAATAAATTTTGATATATGAGCTATTTTCTATTGTTTTTAACTTAAAGGTTTAGTTTGAGGGAGATAACATAATTTGATATCAATAATTCTGTGAATACAACTATGATGAATAAGTCGAGTTCTAAAAAGAATTGCTGTAATATAATCTGGTGAATGTTTGTTTTTTTAAGAAAGAATACAAAGAAAATTTTTGATATTATATAAACCATATGTATGAACATGCTAAGAGTAAAGAATAATAGCAGTTGGTATAGGATTAGTATTGAATGAAGAAAAAAAATAGTAGAATTAGGAAGTTGAGTTGAAAGTTGTTTAACAATTGGAGATATAAGTAGAGTATCACTAATTTTTTTAAAGTATTTAATAGAGATAATTGGAGAGGTTTGTATATTAGAAAGACCAAGAATAGTAAGTTGAGTAATTTTATAGAAGTGAAAGGTAAAATTTGTATAAAATTGACTACATAAATATGTGTCAATAGTTGGTTGAATAGGAACTTTGAAATAATATTGTTTTTTCTTAAGACTTTTATATTGATTAGAGTTAACATCCAGTGGAAGGACACAGAATGATTTAGAAGTTTCCTTATTTATATCAAGTCCATAACAGGCTCTGTATTTAGAGTAATAATAATTCATATTATAAAAGTCTGATTCAGTTGTTATAAGAATAGGTATTTTTAAAATATTTTGTTAAATAATAGGTTATAGGTATATGGTTATGCAAGGGTAGTAGGTAAATATAGGAGTTTAAGTATAGGTATAACTTAATATAGATTTGTGTAATTTTTATAATCAGGTATTACAAAATTATAATTTATAATAAACTATAATAGTAAGTGTGACTAAATATTAGTTATCAGTGTAATGTAGTATTAGTATAAAGTACAATTTTTGTATAAAATTAATTAAATCCAAATATGAAAAAGAATAGATTGTGTATTAAATAAGATTCTATTTAAGGATATATTGGTAAATTTAGTATAAATTTAATTAAATATAAATTAAGAAATGATCTGATATTATATGAAAAATGTGTAAGGATGAGTAGATCAAAAAAGGAACAAAAGATAAGAAAAAAATTTTTATAAGAAAATAAAAATTAAATTTGACTGTAATTTAGTCAATATTTGGTCAAAAATCTTCATTTAGAGCTTGTTTTGACCAGAAAATATTACTAAATCTTTAATTAATATTATACAAAACTTTAATATTTTATACAAACTAGACTTACAAACAATTATTCTGCTTAAAGTTAATGAAACTATATTATATAAACTTTACTAAATGAAAACAATAACTAGGACTTAAACTACCTTATATCAAACTCTTATTTCAATTAAGTCAAAATAATAGAAGAAACTTCAATTACAAAAATTATACTTATTCTTGTCTATGTGAACTATCTGACTAACTATATTCTAATTCTAATACCTGTCCACCTATTGACTATGCTATCTATAAAATCAACATCTGAACTATTCTTTGGATCAAATATTATATTTCTTATGATCATATTTAAACTTACAAATCTAAGTAAATCTTGACCACTCTAGTAGGTTTAGATCACAGATAAATATGTCTGAGCTTTTATTCTTGAATGTAATTTTCTTTTATTTGTATTTAGAGTAATAATTATATAATTAGCAGTTTAATAATTTAACCTTGATTGCAAGTGTTGGTTTTAACCATAACATTTATATAGAAAATTACTTTTTGTATATAGCAACTCCATGTAGCTACTAACTTTTAAACTACCAATAAAGATACAAGCAAGACCTCACATTAAAAAAAAAAAGAAAGAAAGAAAACTCAAGATTAATTGAATCTAATTAATTGAAGCACACTTCAACAAATCGATTTTACCAAGGTCAAGAATTCGAATAACCCGATAGAAATATTGTGTTCTAACGAGTTTTTCTCTTTGTTAATTGATCATCTACAAATTAGTCAGAATGCTTTTTTTGTCACTATAGCTTCTTGAATCTCAAATCTTATCATCGAAGCAAGCACTTAATCAAACCAAATTCAATCTAAATCAACAAAACCGAAGTAAAATCGGTCATCCACAGAGGTGCCAAGCCTCTAAAAAAAATATCCTATAAATACAACACGAATTCGGTAAAAAATATCTGGGGAACTGCACTAGAACTAATACGTGCACAACGCACATATCTGTATAGTACAAGTACAAGTACAAGATACATACAAAAATGTTGGAAATAAACAATTTCCTTTTTAGTTTAAAATGGAAAAGCAGCGCTCACGGGGATACCCAAAAACGCAAACTATCAAATTAAAACTCATTTGCTCAAACAAATTCGAAAATAAACAAAAGACAAACACCAAACAAAATATTTTCGTGGTTAAAGTGTTACAATGCATATGTGACACGTTTTCGCATAAATTAATGTTACGCAATCCGATACATACATATCTCTAATGAATTAAATTTGATAGCATCAAAATGTCAAATGCAAAACAACCAAAAAAAAACAATTCATTAGATATTGCTAAAATATCCAACGAGGTTAACAAATTGTATTTAGAAGATAAGTCACAGGATTTTCTTAATGAAATAATTAAAGAAATTTATAATTTATGTAACGAAGGTATATCGAAAGGCAAAGGTTCGCGTTCAATTATTTACTCCTTAGAACAATTTTTAGTAAAAAAAAAGCAAAATCCAGATAATATTATTAAATATTGCTTAGATAATCAATTCGATCCTGTGGTTCAATTCATTCTTGCGACTTGTTATAGGTATGGCAAATGGGTAGAAATGGATAAACACAAGTCATTCGCATATTATCAAAAATGTGCAGAGATGGGAGATGCTGATGGAATACGTAGTGTTGCATATTGTTATCGATTTGGATTTGGAGTTGAAAAGGATGAACATAAGGCATTCATTTATTATGAAAAATCTGCTGAGATGGGAAATGCTGTTGGGTTAAATCAAGTTGGATATTGTTATCAAAATGGAATTGGCGTTGAAAAGGATGAACATAAGGCATTAATTTATTATCAAAAATCTGCAGAGATGGGCAGCCCTTTTGGGACAAATAATCTTGGAAATTGTTATTTTTATGGAACTGGAATTGAAAAGAATGAACAAAAAGCCTTTGAATATTATTTAAAAAGTGCTGAATATGGATATTGTTGTGGAATGCATCAAGTTGGTTTGTGCTATCAGAAAGGGATTGGTGTGGAAAGGAATAAAGATTTGGCATTTGAATGGTATTTAAAATCTGCAGTTACTGAACATGAATGTGATTATGGTCGCAACTATTTCCGATGGATAGAATATGATAACTTTAGAAACATAGAAGAAGTAGGTAGAGGTGGATTTTCTGTAGTGTATAAAGCATCATATGAAACGTCGTTCGGAATGGATGAATCAGTTGCAATTAAGGTCATTAAAGATTCTCATAAAAATAAAAATCTTTTTTTAAACGAGGTATTTTTTTTTTTATGCATGAATTTATTAACAGTATTTAATATTTATGAATTGATTATAATTTATTTATTTTCTAGTTAAAGGCGTATCACCAATTTGGTAAATACAAAGGCATATCAATGGATAAAAATACGGGAGATTTTATTTTAGTGTTAAATTACGCAAAGTTTGGATCATTACGTGAAAATCTTAAAGATATATTTAAATTAGAGTGGAAAATTAAACTAAAGATATTAAGTGATATCGTTAAAAATCTATCACATATTCATTCTAAAAAATTTATACATCGAGATTTACATTCTGGTAATATTTTATTAAAAGAAGGATATGAAGCTTATATTACAGATTTGGGTTTATCAATATCATTTGATGAAAAACAAGATGGTCGTATTTATGGAGTCTTGCCATATATAGCTTCTGAAGTCTTGAAAGGTGATCATTTTACTCAAGCTTCTGATATTTACAGTTTTGGAATTATTATGATAGAAATATTAACTGGTCGAAGACCTTTCGATGGTCTTAATTTTGATAAAGAATTAGCGGTAAAGATTTTATTTGGATTACGACCTAAATGTAGTATAGAGATACCAAAATGTTATGTTGAATTAGCCAATCAATGTATTGAGTCAGATGTGGAAAAAAGACCTACAGCTGTTGAAATTCTCGATAAACTTGAAAAATGGAAAAACATAGTCGTCATCGATAGTAATGAAAAACTTAAAAAACAGGAAAAAATTATAGCCACCAAGGATAGGGAGTATGATAGTGATTATAATGATGATTACGATAATTACAAGTATAGTGAAGATGATAATTTTAATGACGAGAAGATCAAACAACAATTTTTAAAAGCAGATAAATTAAACAAAGAAATGATAATTATTGCACAAAAACATGAAAATACTATGTATACTTCTAAATTTATTGATACGAGAGGAATTGTTTCAGAGTTTGAAAATTTTAAGAGCAATCAAAATCTTAAAACAAGTAAAGGAGTCAGTATCAATTATATTGATAGTAATTATAGCAAATTATTTATTTAAACGTATATACTACTAACAAGATATCCAATAAAGTTGACCAACTAAATTTATAAATCTCAAGGTTTACTAAAAGAGATATATCATTTGCATAATGAAGAAAGGCTGAAAGCAAATGTTTCAGTTTAGTTTTTGACTCATTAGAACAATTTCCAGTAAAAAAAAATATGAATAACATTAAGTATTGCTTAAATAATCAATTCGACCCTATGGTTCAAATTATTCTTGTAATTTCTATCATCATGACAAATGGCAGACAAGGATATAACGTAATGCTTTCATTTATTATCGAAATTCCACAGAGATTAGAGACGCTAGTAAATAATTAGAAAAAAAATCCTAGTTGCTGTATATGTATGTACGTATGTATATTATAGCTGTTTTCAAAAATATGTAGAAAACGATTTTCATATACTCATGTGATGAATTAAATTCTGAGTAGTAAAAGATTAAAGATTCTATTAGAACAGGTATCGAAAACTCCGAAATCCGGTAAATATTTTAAATTTCCCTATGGTATAGTGATCAACATCTTTTCGCAACTTTATGAAAAAAGCTGTAGAAAATCAAGTCTGAAGGTTTGTTTACATACACTTGACGACGAAATTGAACTAATAATGATACTAATGCTATCTAAACTCCATTCACGGCATACACTGGCAATCATAAATAATGCAACAAATAAATTTAGTTAGATCGTTTTATCTCATGCAATTCTGAGCGTATCCGTTAATTTTTTTTAATTTATTCATAAATTAAGTCTTTTTCTAATTCTAGAATTTTAGTAAACATTATTATTACTGATGCAAAAATAATTACACATATATTATGAAATATGTATTGCATTATTTTTTTTCATTTTAATGTAAGTTGTGTTACATAAATATATTGTTACAAAGTAGATTTTTAGCATAGCATAGTATATTATATTATTAGTAGTTGTTATATATTTATTAT